ACTCTTCATTATTTTAAAAGCATATTTATAATGGTGGGAATGGCACAACCTACTTTCTCATACATGGTTCTGCTAGACAACTATTTCAAAGGCAGTATTCTTAGGTTTCAGCTTTTGTTAGGATTCCCTAATAAATTCATTCCTAATGCATATATTCATGGACTATCATAACTTTCATATTTAGTACTCATGATCAACTCTGAGAATACATTTCCAAATATCTGTGAAAGTCTGCATCATGTGAGAATAGCCCAGAAAATTTCAAAGGAAAGGATGTCTACGTATTGAATGGAACAATATTTCATTGATTACTTCAGAGATTCCTGAGCAGTGTTATGATTAAGAGAAGATATCTGTAGGCACTAACTAGGTTTCAAAATACTGTACAATTACATTGTTTTATAAATCCCTGAATCTATAGATGTTAAATATGTATTACATATTTTAGATGTTAAATATGTATTACAATATAAACTAAATGAAAGAAATGTATTTTTTAAGCCCTTCAGGGTCTCACTAATGGATGAGCTTTTCAAAAGTTCATGATCTTTTTAATTAGAAAATATAAATCTTAAACATTTTATCGGACTTTTTGGAAATGTGCATTATTCTTAATGTTCCTGCCATTTCTTAATGATTTTAATCATTTTGAACAATGGATTTGTCTGAAATATTTCTTGTAATTGTTACCATTATGTAGAGTTATATGAAAGAATAAGCAAGAAGGAAATTTAAGTGGGGCAAATATAAAATGTGTATCCTTTTGTAGAGGATTCTGGGAAATAATTGCAGGTATTCCTGGCTGTGTTTCTTTTTCTTTTTTCCTTTTTTTTTTTTTTTTAGTTTGTATTGGTTCACTTTGTTATTTATGAGAGACATATATTAGTACCTACTTAGCTAACTGAAAATGACTGAAATAAGATTTTAATTTTTAAGATAAAAGGCAAAAAGTAAAAACAGCATTCAGAGATATGTTCCCAGCAGTTGCTCTAGAGGCAGTGTCTACTCTGAGTAGTGAAAAAGATAATAGCAAGCACTTTCGCCAGGAACTACTTTGTACAGACTTTGTATTTACCATAGCACTGCTCATTTTACTATGTATTATTGGTATTTTAGGATTTGCTATTTGGTAAATTGTGGTAGGTTGTTTTAGAGGTCAGGAAATGTATAAATATGTTGTACACATACACAATGAAATATTATTCTACTATAAAAAAGCTGAATGCACAACAGGATTAAAATTAGGGAGATTATACTAAGCAAAATAAGTCAGAAGGATAAATACAAATAGTGAATGGGCCTTGGGGGAAGAATATTGGTTCTTTGGTAGTAGGTGTGATGTGGTGGCATACATTTGTAGAGGTGTGACTCTAATCCTATAATACATATACACAAAATTGTAACAAATGCTACCTCAAGAAATATAATTTATTTTAAAAAATGAGATGAGTCTGAAATAGAAAACTAGAATGTTACCTAAGAATAAGTTTATTTATCATGATAAATGATATCTAAGTAAATGATCTATTTAGAATATTATAGCAGAATATCACTAGCTGAAACAATAGTTGAACCAAAAGCATTTTCTGGATTGTTGCATTTTTCTAGTCATCATAATTACCAGAAATCTTAACAGAAAAGTACACAACTTTAGCTAAAAAGAGAAAAACTCTACAAGGATTTTTGTATGTGTATGTGCCAAAAATCAGCTCCCTTATTCTGATAGATACAATCTATGAAATAAAATTTCAGAACCTACTGATTGAGTGGAATGCTGGAAACAGTACAATAAATAAATGTTGTTATATAGATAAGAGACTTAGCTACAGAAAACAGCTTCAAAATAAATGTTAAATATTAAATAAGTATCTGTTAAATTACAGCCCACTTATCAGTTTTGGTTTTTTTTCTGCCTTTTCTGTCTGTCTTCTGAATACTATAAATGACGACTTCTTTATATTTATTTCTCACATTTCTCTTTTAGTTAAAAAATATACAGTCTTATGATACATGATCATAATATTTTTTCTCCTTTTACCATTATTATTTTGAGAAAATATTTTTTTAAAGAGTTGTTTTATTTATGCATGTAAGGTCACAAAAACTGGGGTATAGGACAGAAATGCAGGGGGAAGAGGGTAAGAGAATTCAAAAAGACAGAACATGGAGCAGAATAACCAGGAGTACCTGAAATACACTGCTGAAGGAAGCCATGGGTGAGATAGGAGATGTCTGCTGCTCCATGTGAGTCACCTCCCTGGTGGGGAAAGGAACTCATGCTGTTGTGGTTGTCACAGAGAGCTTTATAGGTTGAGATTTAGGGCCACCAGGGAGGCCCTAATCTGAGAAAATACTAACTTCTTTTTTCATTAACTCAACTATATCTCAGAATTAATAAGTTTGTTAAATATTCTCTCATACAGCACACTCACATCCTATCTTTATATTTTGTCAACACCAATTACAAAATTACATTGCAAGAAAAGTATACATGTGCACACGAACCAATCACAATTTCATATGGATTTATAGGATGTAATAAGTAAATAATAGACAACCAAAATAAGTAATATATTTTTTCATTCTGAATTTTATTCTGAAATTTCTTGTACCAAAACATATAATATTTTAACTCAGAAGATATAATTTCCCAATATGGACTGAATCCTTTCTACATTGATAGAGTAACACATAGCATTCATTTATTTGTATTTATTTGGCAACCAATATATGCCAATTTTTTTAACAGAATCTTAACAAGATAGTCAAACAACTCTTATAAATGGAAAGTAAATGAGGCATAATGCCAGATTATGAGATAAACTCCTAAAAGAGAATATACAGAATGCTTTGCTTGCTTTATTTTGTTTTGCTTGATTTTCATTGGCATTGATTTGTTATTAAGGTATCTTGACAACATCTCTTGGAGAGTAGCTCTTTGAAGTTAGTATAGTGTTAGTGCATAGATTTGTATTCACTTTGTTAACATAAGTTGGTGTTTTTAGTTTGTTTTCTTTAGAACAAATATTCTGATTTGCAGTGATGCTGTTTGGAGAATGTCTGTATGCTAACTGAATAGAATGTAGATGGACCTATAATCTTCTTAGTCAGTCTTATTCTTCACTGCTAATGTCAAACAAGAATTGTATCAATGAGATGGTCACTATGGGCAAATGGGACTAATTTTCTCCATTGGATCTGATTTTCTACATGCTTTGTATGTCATCTTTCTTCTGAAATAAGGTCACCTTTCTTATATCTTCTAACTTTTACTAATTGTTTGATAACAGAGGAATAATAGTAGTTGGCCACTATAATCTTAATAGGCAGCAAACTTGCTCAGTACTTAAATTATCCCATGCCTGAAAACCAGTAATGCAACCAAGTACACTGACTTTCACCTTGAACTTATGAAATTGTTCCAATTCCTTTATTTATTTTTAAAATTTAGAAGAAATGGGGTACAGGCCAGAGATGTGGGGCACTAGAGGATCCACCAGAGACAAAGAATGGGTAGCAGAACAGACTAAAATGTACTAAAATACACTGCAGAGGGGAGCAGTGGGTGGGTAAGGAGAGATCTGCCATGCCATATGGATCACCTCCCTGGAGGGGATCTAAATAATGCTGAGGTGGCTTTAGCTTCATTGTGCTGTGCTTTAACCTGCCATGCCACCAGGGAGGGCCCTTCACTTACATTTTAATGATATCTATATCTATAGGCTAACACAAATATTCTATTGTTCTTGCCTAAAAAAGTGTGTACATTTGGATTTTTTATTGATATTTTACATCCTTTATAAGCATACTACTTTTTTGAGATAGATTTACGATTAAAATCTACATTACTGAAAGTGAATGGCTTACAGTGTCTTTTGGAGGACAATTTTATTTCTTTCACTACTATTTTCTATGAATCATAATGTATTCTGTGATTACATGTTTCACATGAATAAAAATAACAAATCAGAAGATTTAAAGTTGTTACATATAATTTATGACTTACATATCTACATTTTTAAAAATAGCTATAAAGTTCCCCAGAGTGACGTATATTTGAAATTCTGATAGTTTTTTAAATACACTGTAATGACTTATCTGCCAAACATTAATTCTAAGTCATTAAAATTTAATTTATCAAAATGTACATTACTGGACTTAATATTTTCTGTAATTAACATTTTCTTGAATTTCTAGATGTCTATTAGGAAAGTTCTGTAAATTAGGAAATTTCAATTTTCTTTGATTTTCAGCCATTTAAAAAAATGAGGACAACATTGTTATGGTTTGAAATTATTTAGCCCACTAATCACCAAACATATTTATTATGTATTACTAACTTGAATAGGATTCTGGAATCTCTTAAATGAAAAAAAAAAATCATAATGCTCAATTTGTTATTTAGATTTAGACTCAGTCTTATAATGAAAGTATAATGACAGAATAATCTGTAGGTAAACAACGTTATGATGTTAAATCTGCATAACATTGTTATCACTTATTTTCCTCCACCTCTATTCCAGCTCATCTTGCAAAGTAATCATAAAATTTCTGTGACCAAAATGGTTTATAGTAGTCTAATAGTCATTCTCTCCCCAGGTAGATCTGTATTTATTCTTGGACATATAACCTAAGCATTTTAATGTGGGAAAAAGCAGCAGATTCAAGACCTGTAGATTTAAGGTTGAAATATTTAGTTAGGAACAAAAATATAATTTTCTTAAATGTTGGATATTACTTGTTTACGGTGAAACAACCATTACTTCTAGTAAGATTTCATTCATTTTCTTCTCAGTGGATGAACCAAGCAAAATCTGAGCAAAGTAAATTCCTGCATTCTCTTAACTGGTAATAAAATACCTTGCCAACCTGACAGGTTGTCACAGCAATTATTCACATGAAGTTCTGTAGCAGTTGTATCTGTCAGCCCATGTAGGACTGAATATTTTAACTGGCAGTCTTCCAAGACTGAACATTAATCTTACCATCTCCTATTACAGTCCCTAATCAAGATATTCCAGGGGTGATTGCACTAACATTGTTTGAAGACTACATCTACTGGACTGATGGGAAAACCAAGTCACTCAGCCGTGCCCATAAAACCTCGGGAGCAGACAGACTCTCACTGATTAACTCATGGCATGCCATCACAGATATCCAGGTGTATCATTCTTATAGACAACCTGATGGTAATTATTCTTTCCATGATATCCATAAATGCATCAACATTTTTTATTATCATCCCATTTTTGTTTCCTCCAAGGTTAAGTGTAATTTATTTTTTTCAGTAAGATTACCAAACTTCATTACTTAGCATAACTGTATGGAATGAATTCAATTGATATCAAGTACCATATTAATAAAATGTCACATTAAGGGATTTGATTAGGAGTTCAATAACCTTATTGAATTCTTGTTTAAATCATCCTAAACTGAAATGGCAATAATAAATACATCTGGAAAAGTAGAGGCTAAAATCTTGAAATAATTTATTTACAAAATTGTTATAAGACCCATAGTTTCTGGAATGCTGGGCTAAAAAATTATACTGAAGAAAATCAAAATCTCTAACAATAGGAAACATATCAAACTTACTTCAATTTGTGTCTAGTAGGAATTTTCTCAGGTCTTAGGGAATAAAAGTTTGACTATTTTGGTTAATATACATATTTGTCCTAGAAAACTAACACTATTAGATGCAAACCATTGTTTCATTGTTTTATTTTACATTTATATTTCTAAACATATGAATGTCTTCATCCAAAATGCTCCTAATCTCTCTATATTTTTCTTATAGGCAATTTATACCTATTAAAATAATTATTTTTATGGAATGTATCCTTCAAATTATTTAATGGTAAATAATATGTTATAGTAGTAAAATTTATAAAAGAATTAAAATTATATTTATAATCTTGAGTTTTTTATTATAAATTCTATTGAAAAACAAATCATGAAGCTTAAATGCCCTATCTGTAATTCTGTAATCCTGTTTTATATTGTTCTTGATTATTGTGTTGTTTCTTTCTCATCTATAGTTTCCAAACATCTCTGTATGATAAATAATGGAGGTTGTAGTCATCTGTGCCTTTTAGCTCCTGGAAAGTCTCACACCTGTGCATGTCCTACCAACTTCTATCTTGCAGCTGACAATAGGACTTGCTTGTCCAACTGTACAGCCAGTCAGGTGAGTGGGTTATTAAAAATAATTTCATAGCAAGTATGGGCAAGTTGTTACAATGCTTTTGCACAACTTTTGTTTATTTGCTTTGTTGCTTTTAAAATTCTTTTTTTTTTTTTTACCAGTTCATTAGATTATTGTACGTCAGAGAGAGTCAAGAAGTAAGAGAAAAGCAATGTGATACATCATGTTAAAGTGGGATCTTAGCAGTTAGAACGTACAAATAGAGTCCAAAATAAAACAAAAATGGAAATTGTTCCCATCAGATACTTAGCGAATAATGATCAAAATTAGGGCTGGGCAAAGCAAAATAATTAGCAATGTGATATATTTCCAGAAGGCAAAATAATCAATTTATAAGGTTAAGGCTGAGGCAAATATATTATAAATGAATAGTAAAAAATATCTTCCCAATTAAAAAAAAAACTTTTTAATAATAGCCTTCCAGTCTTCAGAGCCAGTGATATAGACAAATAGAAATTTATAGCAAGATATATTCTAGATTTTTAAGCTGAAAATCATGATATAAATATTTTTCTCCAAAATTAAATTATTTTCAGTTAATATATTGCAGCAGTTAAATATTCTACTTACTGATAGTTGCATGGGTTGATTTTAATACTTTCAAATTTTAGTAAACTCTCTGACAATATAAAATTTGACTGTTATTTTTGAGTTTCTTTGGTTAAAAAAGAATTTTCAAAGCAACCACATTTGCATTTTAAATGACTAAACTTATTTTTATACCTTTATGCATTGAATTTGATGGTTTTCCTATTCTAGTGGTGATTGAATTACAACAGACTGAAATTTGTGTTGGGTCTGCTTACTTTCCAAATGAAGAAGCTGATAATAGTTCAGTCTGACTCTCAAATAAAGTATCACATATTGAAGCACTGTAATGATCTAAAACATTGGACATGTTTCAAGGAAGTAGTTTGTGAACAAGAACAGACCCTGAGTCACTCACTGTGATTGCAGTCCTGACTCTGGCTTGAATCACTTGATTACCATGGGTTTGATACTTTATTTCTTGGTATCTCAGTTAATTATAGATATAGAAGGAAATAAATTTTTGAAATTATTATATAATACAGGCTTTAATTATGGTTATTTAATGTTATAAATTCAATTAACTAAATGAAACTTAAGCAATGAGAAAGTATTATCCTCATAGATAAATTATTTTCTAATTTGGTATCAATGATAAGAATAAAATATAATTTTCAAATACTATAATATAGTGTTCCTTTAATTTTTAGACAAAATCAACAATAGCCAAAAAAAGAAAGAAATTTGTGTTCAAATCACATCTTTATTTTACCAATTTTTTTTAAAGTTACCTATCATTCAATTAAGGAAAAAATTAATGCAGAATGACTAACATTATCATCCATTAGTAATTCTCCCTGTAAGTTTTGTGTTTTATGCATTATCTCCATTATCTCTGACTTTTTTTTTTAATGTAGTGTGAGCAAGATGCTATCCTGTGTGTATTCTTAGAGTAAAATCAGAGAAACAATTGTTATCCAAATGTTACAAATAATCTAAGTGTTTAGAATCATTCCAATAAATTTTTAAAATTGATCTTACCAAGTGTTTTGATTTGTTATAGTTTATAATTGCAAGAAGTTTATAATTAGAATAATAAAATAGGCAAACCACGCTAATACGAATTGTATTAGTATAGGAAAAGAGCATATAAAAATCTGGTAAAAATCAACTTTAAATCAAATTCTTATAGCATTATTTCAAATATTAAATCAATTTGATTCAGAAATAAAAGGTAAATTTAAAAATGGCTTTTCTTCCCATTTAAATGGAGCCTTTTCTCTTTCAGCTAAACTTAACTCTATGTTGGATTTACATTTTATCCATGTATCCCTTTTAGTAGACATGTTTTTAGTAGTTTCTTTATAGTTCCTTCATGTGGGTAATAATTACAGTCTACAATTTTTTATGAAGATATTAGTCTTAAAGAACATTTACCATGAAGAATATTTTATATTTATGTACCACTAATCTTTTTTAAGATACTGTACTTAAATATGAAGAAAATGAAGCTCAGACACAAAATGGAAGTGATCTTCCTTCAAGAATAATGAGTAAAATGCTGATTAGCATTAAGAAGTAACATAATAAGTATATTTTACCCTGGCATTCCTAAACTCAAAACTCTTTTATATTTAATTAATTGAAATCATTACACCGTATATAATTCTAATAGCAAACATTTATTTAAATCAGACTTTAAAAATGAACTTGAAAATATGTATTTTAGACATTTTCAAATCTTGACTGAGAAGATTTTGAATATACTTCAGAGACCTAAAATCCTCCTACTAATGCACTTTGATTCACTGTAATGACTAAAAATGTCTAATGTTCAGGGCAATTGCATTCAGGGTTAGCTTTATATCCCCTGACAGTTACTACCCATAAAGGTCATATTTTTTCTGTGTTAATTTAAGAAAACCACAGAAGAGCTGACCATAGGCCAAGCAAACATGGAAAGTCAGTTGAGCACTTAGCAGACACGTGGATTCGTAATGCTCTGCTCCTCTTCATGTCACCACAAGAAAAATTACCATTAATTAAAAAAAATAACATGAATCTATCCAGAGTCAACTCCAATATCCAGACAAGTTCACAAAAGCTAGCATCACATTCTTTCTGACTTGTAGAAAGGTACAATATTTTAAACTGTTAGATTGCTGTTGCATTTTTAACTAGAGAAAAGTGAACCTAGGTTGTAATTTTCTAATTTACAGATCTGGCAAGCAACATGCTAAGATAAATACCACCTTGTTTTAATTTACTACACTGGAATTATAAGCAATTCAAAAGTAAAGTTCGGGAAGTTATCAAAATTAATATTTCAAATTCCAGGTGAAAAGTAATATGACCTATGCCTTTCACAGATTTCCTATTACAATAAGTATTTTTATAGCATCAAGAAATTTGCTAAATTTTATTATTTTTAATAACTTAATGTAAATATTTTACTAATGATTTTTGGGGTATTTTACTAATTTAGAAAAGTATTAGTAATTTTTAAAATTTAATGTAATGTTTATTAATTTAATGTAAATATTCTATTTTAATAATTTAATATGCATGTTTTATAGTGACTTTGGGGATACATTACTCCGAAATTGGTGATTTTCTTAAGTTTCTTCTGTTTCAAGATGGTAGAACTGAATTTTGCAAACAGAGGAATAAGTTTGTGGTCTGAAATCCCAGGAATAAATTGGCTAAACTTCTTGGTCTTTGTGTACAGTTGTTGGACAGTAGTAAAGTTAGCAGGAAAAATTCTGTTCTCTGGCTCATACAAAGGAATGTAACCTCCAAAAATTTTTCAGCAACAAATTACTTGTGCACTAAATAGTCAGTAAGTAAATATTGCTATATATCATTTGTGCACAGAAAAGCAATCATGGAACTTTAAATCTTTCTTTCTCAAGTATCCTGTGCATGGATGCAAAGCTGAGTAGCCATTGTTAAATCTTTCTCTGCCTCTTTGGTCCTTAGTAAGAGTGAAAAGACTGAGTTGCATATCTCTTTCAGATGAAAGTCTATGCAGATGGTTTTGTTCTCTTATCTACTAGAGCAAGGAGGGGTTGTGTTTGCAGAATATCTTACATTATGTTTACACTAAGAAAATGTGATTAAATGAAATTAATTAAAGCTACCTAAATTGACTTCATACTTTGTCCTGAAATTCCTGAAACTTTTCAGCCCGCTTCGGTGTTGAGCAAATGTTTCTGTAAAGTGACAGGTAATAAATAGTTTAGGCTTTACCTCTCTATCTGTAGCAACTACTTGACTTTGTAATTGTGCTGCAAAAACAGCGTGAGCCAATATGCAAATGGCTGAATTTGACTGTGTTCAGAAAGTCTCTGCAGGTTTTCTCAAATGATATGCTTTTACTAGAACAAGTCATTCTGCTGTTTTGTGTGCGTGTTTGTGCGCATGCACGCGTGCGCTTATCCCCCAGTGTGGAATGCTCTTAGATGACTGTAGTTCACTTTTCCTGCAAGAGAGAAGACTTCAGTTTTTAAATATTGATTATATATGAATAGAGTTCTTTTTTTCCTCACCTTTTTCTTTTCTTTTTATAAGTTTCGCTGCAAAACTGATAAGTGTATTCCATTCTGGTGGAAATGTGACACTGTGGATGACTGTGGCGATGGATCTGATGAGCCAGATGACTGTCGTGAGTACAATGGCAAATGCAGGATTATAAGGGACAATAACAGGACTAGAGTTTAGAACCACTTCAATCTCAGACCAGGAACATTAAAGCTAGATCCAAAGCAAGACTATTTGATACAATTTTTGAGAATAAAAGAAGGTTTGATATGTAATCTTTTAGATTACGCCAGGGGATTTTACAATGTTTTAGCTATACGTCTCATAATAGTTACCTTTAGGATGACAACAATTTGTGTCCTTTCTCAAATTTTCTTACTTGTAGAATAACTATGTCACTTCCATGTAATGATCAGCAGAGAAAAAATAGGTATGATTTCAACTTAACACATCACCAAATAGGAAATGTGCAAGTTTTCATACTTCTTGATTAAAATCTTACCTTAAAAAGATATAAATTTTCTACTTTTTTTCTGTCAGTATTAAGGTAATAAAAATTCAAAGTCAGATTTTTCCAATGTAAAAAATAGTTTATTATTAGGCAATTTAATATGCTAATAGACATTGGTTTAGAATGACTACCTAGGGCTTCCCTGGTGACTCAGGTGTAAGTCACAGAGCTATGAAACTATCACAAGCCACACAGCACAAGTTGAATCCCAAGCCAGCAAGGTGACCCACACAGCACAGCAGACCTCTCCTGTCTAACACAATGCTCTCCTCTGCAGTGTATTTCAGTAGATCCTTCTGTTCTACTTCCCACTATCTCTGATGAATCCTCTTAACTCTCCATACCTGCACCTCTGGCCTACACCCCAGCTCTTGTATGCATAAATAAATAAAAATAAATCTTTAAAATGACTACCTATTATATCTTGTTATATGAATATGATTGCCATGGTTATGTGATACATTTTTAGCTCTCTTTGGTAACTTGATTATAAGGGGCAATCACTAGACTTTGCCTTAATAGAACTTTAAAGTTTATTCCATGAGTCATTTCAATTCTATATTGTTACATTGAAGATCCTTTAATCAGTGATAATTCTCTCAGCATCCCAGTACACCATTGTCATGATTTGGCCTTGACAATTGAACGTAAGATACATAGGTTTATATTAAAGATAGTGTAGTGTCTTAGTGAAAATTAGCAACTTTCTGCTGTAGGATTCTACCACATAATTACAAAGCCATTTCAAACTTAGTATCTCTATATAGCTTAGAGGAACAGTATCTCTCTCTCTGTTTACTGCGAGGATATCACACATTTGAAGTTGTTCCATATGGCTCATTTGTAGGTTTGAAACCAGAAGGTGATTTATTCAACACAAAGAGGAAGAAGAACTATAAAAGTCATCACTTTTCTAATATTCTACTTAATTCTACTTATGTTTCTGAAAGGTCCATTGCTTTCATATTTGCTTTTTTTTTTTTTTTATTGTGATGATATCTTATAAAGGGTATTGCTATTATGCCATTAATGGGCAGGGAGAGAGTACCCCAAGAACTCTCAAATCTGCCTGTTTTAAATAAGTTCTGCCATTTACCACATTAAAGGTAAATATATTCTAGTGCATAAAACTTTTAATGAAAGGAAAATTAATATAATTAGTCTAATAAGGAGAAGAGAAGGAAAAATAGTTTTCATCTGAAATACCCAAAGTTACCCATCCCTTTGTGTATAAATACCCAACCATATAGGGTTGGCCCAAAGTAGGATTGCTGAGGCCCAAAAGTTTGCCGTTTGTAAGACAATTTCTGGTGGGACCCATAGGAAAGGGACAGAAGGGGTCAGAAAAGTCTGGAAGGAAAAGTGCAAAATCAAAATCAATATGAAGGCTGCCATAGTCAGCCTCCCCATAGGATGCTCATTCATGTCTCTTTCAAGTGTCTTCTTCCATGTTCCTCAATTCCTTGATACCAGTCCAAGGCTGAGATCAAATGCAGCTTCTTCGTGTCTCTGCTCCATGAGCCTCCTCCAGCTCCTCATCTTGCTCTCCATTCTTCTTTCGCCCAGTCTTCTCCAGCTTACTCTCTCTGTTCAGCTCTACCCATTTTGGGGTGGGGTAGGGAACCTGGAACCTCCTTTTTCCCTGGGGTCCACCTTGTTCATCATGCCTTTAAGCAATAAGTATAGTATTATGCTTGTTATTTTTATTTAGTTATTTAATTGAAAGAAATATCAAAGAAACAAGAAATAATATAGGGACCAGTTAAGATTTACTTATTAAAAGAAAGTCATTGAGAAATGACCTTACATAGCTTAGAGGAAATGTATCTGTCTCCCCCCAAACCCACAATAACATAAACTTACTTATGAGGCAATGCAACTCACTATTTTTTTTTAAAATTTGTAGGTGAAAATTCAAATAAGCATGTTCATTTAATCCTCATGTTAAGATGGCCTCTCTTGCACAGCTCACTAAAATGATCTCAAAGGAAATATCATCATGATGACCTGGAGACAGAGTTGATAGCAATCAGTGTTTTCCCTTCTAATAACTTCTAAAATATTTGCAGTTCCTAAACTCAGAGTTTAATCTTGGCAAACATTTCTTGCTATAACCAAACTAAAATAAAAAATTTATAGTTAGTACAATAAATTTTTTGCATGTACCTACTTTCCACTATGAGGGGAACCTGAACAGATCTGGTATCCTAGACTCCTGGATGAACCTTATCCTGGTTAAATACTGAAAGTTTTTAAATGATAATATTATCTTTCTGATTTTTTTTTAAGATTTATTTATTCATACAAAACTGGGGTACAGGCCAGAGATGCAGAGGGTGAGAGGATTCACCAGAGACAGAGTGGGGAGCAGAACAGGCAGACTGATGAATCACACTGCTGAGGGGAGCAGCGGGAGGGTCAGAAGAGGTCGCACTATGTGGTCACCTCCAGGCAGGCGGGGATCGAACTCATGCAGAAGTGGCTTAAGCTTCTTAGTGCTGTGCTTTAACCCACTGCGCCACCATGGAGGACCTCTCTCTGATCTTTTAATAAATGATCTTTTACTAAGAGTTGACTGGTTAACAGCACTGAACATCTGTGTTTATAATTAATATCTTTAAAGATAAGTATATTTTAAATAAATATAGTCATTATTCATAATATAATATATATTTATTATATGATATAATTTAAGTATAAGCATATTTAAATATAATATATTTAAAAATTATCTAGAACTAGTTTATTTAAAATTCAGTATTTACAGGATGCATTTGTTTTAGATAGTGGTAGGCAAGATAAAGTTCAGGTGGCCCCTCACATTGCAAATTTCAAACTGATGTGTTAATTTTTAATATTGGAACAACTATTCTAAAAAAATAGAATAGATTTTACTCTGCTGCTTAAACTCTCAATATGCTTTCTTTAAATGAGGCTAACTTTACATTTTTAAATATATACTTATATTTAGACATTACTGATTTCCTCTTACTATTTAAGATATAAATTCTGGAAGCATCTAAGCTGTTCTTTGTTTAGCAGTATATCCAAAGCTAATAGTTATCTAGGTTAAAACGTTCACATTGTGCTCTAGTATAGGTTTAGTATAATGATATAATAAACATTTAGTATAATGATATAATAATGATATAATAAACATTTTAGATGATCTCTGGCTAGGAAGTCACCAAATAAGATTGTCATCCATAACACCAATGTGTTTCCACCCTTAGCTGAATTTAAATGTCAGCCAGGTCGGTTTCAGTGTGGAACTGGACTCTGTGCACTGCCTGCCTTTATCTGTGATGGAGAGAATGACTGTGGAGACAATTCTGATGAACTCAATTGTGGTAGGTGATTAAATTCTTAATTAAGGATCATAAATCTAATTCTTAACCGACCAATTTTGTGCTTATTTAAACTCAGACACAGATTTCAGCACAGACTTTTATGTGCTTTTTATTTTTTAGATACGCATGTCTGCCTCTCAGGTCAGTTTAAGTGTACCAAGAACCAGAAATGTATTCCAGTAAACCTCAGATGTAATGGACAAGATGACTGTGGGGATGAGGAAGATGAAAGGGACTGTCGTAAGTCTCCTCAAAATGTTGTTTTGTCTTACCTCAGACTCCCAACTGAGATGGGTGTAAACATTTTCCTGCTTCATAAATTCACAAATTTATAGAAATTTGTAAAAAAATGTAACACAAATTTTGGGCAAAGAATTACAAATAGGTACCTATTAGGAAGGACTATTTAAGAAGCTCCACATAAAGAATACAGAGAAATTTAAAATAAGAGTAACTTTTTATAAACTTACCTGCAAAGCATGACAAACACAAAAATAGCCATTCATCTATATCACCCTGAGGAGAAAAAGCAAAAGCTGGTGATTATGGCATTTACTCATAAAGTCATTTTGTTTTTGGCCTATGTTAACTAAATGCACACAGTTTCCCTCCATTGATTAGTTACTTGAGTTCAGCCTTATTTTATTTGGAAAAACTAATAGTTAATGCATACTGTGATCTAAAAATTTTGGGCAGAATAATCCATCAAAATTACTTGTGAAAACTGTAAAAGATGTTCTAATAGTTATTATTCAAAGAACAATAGTGAAATATTTACTATCCTTTTAAACTCTTCTTTCCATTTCCCACCAAAAACATTTACATTAAAAATAAGATCAAGCTTATTCGTCATACACATACATACAAGAAGTGAAGCACCCATGTGTGTGCACATGAATGCATACACACACACCATCTGAATGATAGAACACCTGTCAAGTTTCAGGGTTTCAACAGAACTGCTGTCAACATTTCTGTCTTGCAGAAGTTTTATTTTATTCCCCTAAAACTTTTATCAGTAAATAATGTGCAGTCATCCAGCAATTTGATTAAGATGGTGCATTCAGAATAAAGTCAGTACCAGTTCTTTATGGTTAGTCATTCTAGAAGCTGATCCATTAAATTGACTAGGATTTGTGATGCAGTTTATAGTGTGAGTCGGATGTTCACGTCTTCCCTCAAAACCTCACACAACTAGAGATTTTGATAAATTATATGTTTTTCCCCAGTCACTTACATTTTCTGATTTTAATCTTTCAGTTTTTGGAAATGCATATATATGTGTGTGTGTGTATAAATGGATGTGTGTGTGTATATAAATGTACACACACATATGTATACATATATATGATTTCTTAAATTTATCTGAAAGTTTTTTGAAGCTCATAAATTATTTATTTTATGATTGTTTTTAAAATATATATTCAAGATAAAGCTGTTTTGAAAACTCTGATACTTGTCAAATATATCATTGCACAAATATGTTTAATCTGTTTTCATGGGAAATATATTAGGGATACATTATAGATAAAAGTTGAAATTTATACCTTCAAAATATTATTAATTAAAAGGAGATACACTTTGACTATCTTAAATACTGTTTATTTAATTGCTTTTTAAATAAAATGTCTGATCTTATCCAGAGCTACATTTTAATAGATGTTTTCCTCTTAAGCTGAAAACAGCTGTTCTCCAGACTATTTCCAGTGTAAAACTACCAAACATTGCATTTCAAAGCTGTGGGTTTGTGATGAGGATCCAGACTGTGCAGATGCATCAGATGAAGCCAACTGTGGTGAGTGTTTTGTGAACATGGATCCTACCTATTGTATTTGAGTTGTCTTCTGAGAGGACCACAGTAAAATGGATTCAAATGCATTTACATATCTGATGATACTCAGGTATCACATGAGAATGTGTTGTCTATGTTCACAGAGTACTAACAAGTTCAAGTTAGCTATTTTATAAATAGCATAAAGGGGTAAGGTGGAAGAGAAAGTATGCTATTTTAAAAGGATAGGTCACAAAGGTAAGCTAAAACTATCAGATGCCTGTATTAGTTACTCATGGTATTAATATATGGACAGCAGAAATAACATTAGAAACAACCACTATTTCATATTTTTTTAAACTTCATTTTTCTGCTTTAATACATATGAATTTCTACTCATTCAGAGCTTAATTAATTCTAAAGCATGGTCCTGAAAAGCAAAAAGATAGTAAATTATGTTTTGTTTTTACTTGATGGTATTGATCACTTAAGTTAGCATTTTTTTTTGAAACACAAATTTAATTTAAATTCCATTGTTTGTTTTACAACATTATTCCTTATTTTACCTTGTAGGAATGGAGAACACGTACAGTTTGTTTTGTGCATTTGGTTCTAACTTGAAATTGTCAATAGTAACACAGAAATGAAATATGGTTTTCTGGTTATATTAATATTAAATATTAATTGAAACTGTTTTCTAGGTGAACACTTCAAACTTGGTATTGCTGAAGAAACACAAATAAAACAATCCATTAATAGATTAGAAAAGATAAAGTTTGTTCAAGTGAAAGATACAATTTACAGGCACCATAGTCAAGTTTATGTTACATGCTTTTCTAGATTCCACACTGCTGTTAATTAACTCATATGGGAGACAGATAAATAATGGAAAGCCTTTAGGTTCTCAGAAATCCCATTTATGTACAACAACACTCATGAGCTACATGTATAATCACTGGCAATAATGTAATGTGTCTCTAAGCGATTTTCCTAATACTAGCTTCCAAGTAATTGTTTCTTCACAACATGCAACTGATATAACATAGCACACAGTATCATAAAACTACCATTTACTACTTTGTGGGATTGATCTTCATAATCATTTCACATGGTCCAAAACTACATTCATCATTTATTTGTCTATAAAAATTAGTAAGAAGTATTGCATGCTAGTATATACTACTGGTGAGTTGTTCTGTTGTCATTTGTATTTTTATTTACCAGTCAAGTGGGATAATAACATATATTATTTATCTGAATGATTTCTTAACTGGAATGTTATTTCTATGCATTTTTTTCCATCCTCCTTACTTTGATGTGATTTAAATGTTTTGGGAAAGTGTACTAGTCAAGCTGATAATTATCAATCCTAATGATAATAATGTCTAATATTATATGATATTCAACATATACCCAGAAAATATGAAGATTTTGATGAAATTATTGTACTTAATTTTTTTATTACTCATATTTTATAAATGAGGAGAATGAAGCTGATGGTTCGTGTGACTTTTCTAATGTGTCATAGCTAATTAGAAGTGGATCTGGGATTTGAATCCAGGGTCATTTTGTCTTGAAGTTCCATAGACATAGCATCTACTCATTCATTATACACAAAAAGAAGAAAAAATATTTGCATATTTTCTGTTACAGGGTTATATAAAATGCTCCCAGTCACATGTATTAATATAGGTTCAAGACCAGTATACCATAAGAAAAGAGGGCAAAAGGAAGAGGAAGAATTTACCTCACACTACAGTAAAATGTTGTTGTTGCAGGTGCTAATTTAATATAAAGAAATTTATTCTATATCATATTCAATATAACATTTTTAAATCCTCATTTCTGAAGGGACTTCTCCCCTTGATTTTTATCTTCAATAAATAGAGAAATACATGTATTTGTACTAATTATGTTAACACCCTTGTGATATAGGTCCCTTTTGATGCTTCCTTTGAGTGGAGAAGACCAGTAATACTTCTTAAAGATTAAAACTATCCTGTCAAGGCCTTACTGTTTGAACTGAGTTATGTGTTTCTTTGTGTCTAAGAATGGGACTTGCTTAGATAGGGAATGTGCTTCTCTATTGTATGCAGCCATTGTCCTCAGAAGTGCAGGATGTGGGTGGACTTAAGTAGACTCTAGAATGACTAACCTGTTCTTTGTTCTAATACTCCAGCTTGCAACCCATTTTCATTTTAGTTGCTTTCTATGTATTCTTAGTCCAGTGGAAGTTCTTTTTTTACACTTATAATTTATCAAGACTTTGTTATTCTCAATATCTATATTTATCTATGGTTTTATATTTGCTTGCCTTCTGTCAATTCTAAAGTTCTAACATTGTATTTTTTTATATCTTGACACATCCTAAATGGAGCAATGGCTTTATTAAGCTGTGAAAATATAATCAGTGAGGGAGGAAAGAGAAAGAGAGTGAGGAGAGATGGAAAATGGGAATGGGGTTTTGGAAAGACAAAAAAAGTTAAGAGAGTAATGTAAAACAAACAACATATACATATAGGGAATTAAAATACCAGTGAAGTGTAAGTTTATTTAATTATTCCATTTTTATATTGACCTGCCATTATGTTTATTGAATTTGTCCAGTGTAATTTTTGATAGTTTATGGGTACTTTCAAGTTTAATAAATGACATTCATTATGTATAAAATCATTATGTTGACTCAGAATTTAAGAAGACCTTGAAGTCACTGTGAATAGATATAGAATGAATGTATTTTAGGACTTCAGGCCTAATAATCTAGTCTCTATGAGTCTTTGGGTACAGTTTAAAAAGTTAAAGTAACTATATAATTTCCCATCTTATTACACCTAGTTTTTTAAAGGCTAATTTTTAAAAAAAAAATTATAAAAGCTACATCTGGCACACTCATATTTAATTATGTAAGCACTTTAAAAACATCTTTTAGCTCTATTTCTGTGTAAGTATTTAAATCTATGCTGCCCTCATAGTCAGGTCAAGATAGTTGTGACTTCATTTTCTGACTTTTAAATAACTATATTAAACTTGCTAATTTTTTGCTTGAAGGTATTTATTCTTTTGTCTATGACCAAATAATGGACAAACACCAAGTGAAGGTCTGACTGAAATAATAGAACTTTCCAACTGTAGCATCTTCAGGATTTTCATTACAGATCTCAATTTTAAACTTCCTTTATTTTCTGTTAGTCATCCCTATTTTGGAACAAAATATAGACTAGAGATTTGACAGATAATGTACTAGATTCATAAGTCCACTTTGTAATCAGTTAAAACTCTTCTACAATTTAACTCTTCTGAGCTGATACCCAAATCTGTAATATGGTACAGAGAAGATTCCCCCATCACATCTGGGTCCTTTAGGGGGTAAATGGATGAACAAATTAGCACCAAAAAGCTTAAGTAGTAATAGAGGTCAAAGCTTAGTAACATGGATATGGGTACTTTAAGGTCTACAAAATCCTAAATTAAATTGGAGCAGACCAGGGGGTGCTATGTTTGTGGGTGTGGAGTATCAAGGAGAGAGAAAGGGGGACACATCACATGAAAAGGAGGGGATGACTTTACCTTTTACTGTAAGACTAACAAGATGAGTTTCTCAGATAATGTGTACATTTTCATTGATAAGCCTATACTTGAATGATACCCCAAACTAAATCATAAAAAGGAAGAGCTTCTTTAATTTAAAAAAAAAAAAATGACAAGGGATAGACAGCTCTTCTCAGTTTCTAGGGTCTTCATTTCTCTTACCTTAAAAAAAAATTCTAACTATTGAAATAATGATAACAGACTATAGAGACTCACAGACTCTACTAAACTTACTTTCCCATACAATGTGACACTAGGCACATTGAGAAAACCTTTCCAACCCTTTTGGGGAGACTGGTTCTGCAATGTTTTCTGTTATGTTCTCTCCTCCCAGTTTATAGTTAAGTTAACATTTCCCTAGATGTCTGTGAAACATTCTGCCTTTTCATCTGTTTTTCTGTTTGGGCTCTGCTGGTCATCTCTACTCACAGCCATCTCTCTAGAAACCACTGTTGTTCAGCCTCATTGCTCCTTTCACTCCTCTCTGTGGTCTTATTTCCTGTTTTCTTCTACATCCCTTTACTTTATCTAGAATTCTATGTCATCAGAGTCTTGCTTCCAAGTTGGTTCAGCATCATTTGCTGCTTTTGAGCAGCCTTGGTTTATAACCTGCTGCTTGGCTAATTACATTTAATTAATGAGTGAGCTATAATCACACTAGCTAGGGCTTGTGAGAAGAACTGGAGCTTTCTGTGGTAGCTTTATACGTTCTGCAACCCATTTATCCCACATGACACAACACATTTACGTCAACAAATATATCCAATAAAGTATGTTATTGTTTTTCACTTAAATGTTTGATAAAGAAATTTGAATGCCTACTCAAACTATTAAGACTGTAAGAAATAGGTTTTTAAGTTAAAGCAGATGTATACTAACTCATGTAACACTTCAAATATAAAGACTTTTACTGAAAGTTTTACAGTAAGAAAAAATGCAGAAGGCCCTCCCTGGTGGCACAGAGGGTTAAAGCACAGCACTAAGAACCTAAAGCCAATTCAGCATAAGTTCAATCCAGCCCCAGAAGTGACCCACATATTGCAGCAGACCTCTCCTGACCTGCTCACTGCTCCCCTCAGCAGTATACTTTGTCAGTTGGCCTATTCTGTTCTCCACTCTGTCTCTAGTGAATCCTCTCACAGCTCCTGTACCTCTAGCCTATACCCCTGTTCTGTATGCATAAATAAATAAATATTTTAAAAAAGAAAAAACATAGAATATTTAACAGATTATAATAGTTGGCTTAAATAAAAATATCCAAAAGCCCTAAGTACCACTTCTATTTCTTCTCTTTCTTTTTCCTCCCCATTTTAAAGTGACTATGTTTCATCCACATGTGAAATTTTGTTACTTTTACCATATTAGTATGCCCTTGTTTAAATATACCTAATAGTTTATGGTATTCTAATTTTATATTAGTGGTATTACACTTTCTA